ATATCGTGGTTCCAATAATATATAATTTATCAGGCTTGGTCGGGAAGCGGGAGCGATCGCTCTCGATTGCTGACCACGTAAATAATATTTAGTTGCAAAAAGCTGGCCAGATTTTTAGTCGTTTTGAGAACATTTTAAAAAGCAAAAAAAAAAAGCGACGAAGATTAATTGGACCGATGAGAGACAATTACAAAAAAAAATAAAATTAAGCGATGTTTTTTATATAAAGTAACAACTGACGATTGTTTAAAAGGGAAACAAATATTCTTTATTTAACTAAGTTTGCAAGTTTTAATTTTACTTAAGCAAAATTATTTTATAAATAAAAAAGTTAATTTTTTTAATACCTTTTTTATGTTTCGCGTAGTTTGAAAATTTTAACATATTTGAAGCGATTCTTCTTAGTAAGATAAACAAATGAAATAATTAAATCATTGAATTACTATAGGAATTAAATTATCAAGATAGAAATCAACTAAAAAGGTTAAAAATATAGGCGCTATTCGACTTTCTCCCCCCCCTCCCCCCTGTTTTTATGATTGATTTTTATAGAGTATATTATACTGATTCTAAATCATATAAAAACATAGGTCTGAAAACTTGAGGAAAGTACTCTAAACTGATGTTAAAGTATAAAAATCCACATTAAAAAATGCTAATATTCCACCATCTTTTTAAAAACATTTTAACACTGTTTTTAAAATTTAGGTAATTAATTTTTTAACTAACGACCCAGTTTTTATTGTTGTTTTTATATTTTATGATGTACATACATCGACTGACATATAGCAATTGGCGCAACTAAATGTACATGCATCGACTGACAAATAGGAATTGACGCAACTAAATGTACATGTATCGACTGACAAATAGGAATTGGCGCGATTAAATATACATACATCGACTGACAAATAGGAATCGGCGTAAATAAATGTACATATCTACTGACAAATAGGAATTGGCGCAATTAAATGTACATGATTTTGGTCAGGGTTTGGTTGGGGCAGGAAATCAATAAAAAATGCGTTTTAAATTGAAGCGTCGATAGAAACCAGGGTTTTTCAAAGTTTTTATTGAAAAAGAATTTTATTATAACCGAGTATGACAAAGATGGCTAATATTAGCGTTTTTAATGTGGATTTTTATACTTTAACATTAAATTAGAGTTCTTTCCTCAAGTTTTCAGACCTATGTTTTTATATGATTTAGAATCAGTGTAATATACTCTATAAAAATCAATCATAAAAACAGGGGGGGGGAGAAAGTCGAGTAGCGCCAAAATATATAATGACCAGGAAGCGAAACTGCTTCACAATAACGCTGATGATGTTTAGTGAGTGGGCTTTTTAATTTTAATTAGTATTTAAAGCAGAAAAAAGTATAACAAGTTTTAAGAATGGCAACTTAAGCGAAAATAATTAGAGTAAGTAAACCAATATCTAGAAACTTTTCTTTATATCTAATTATTTGCTATATATATTTGTGTTCTGTCGTGACCTCAGGCGCAATGCTTGTTCATCCGCGAGTTACTTTGTATGCGTTGTTTGTGTTTAGTAACCAGAAACTACTTATATGTTTGTTACATAATTAGTTTTATTAACTTTAACGATTACAACTTCATTGAAAACGCAATTATTTTTGTAAGTCTTTGTTTAAATCATAAAAATTGCTTTAAAAGATACATTACGATAAAAAACAAATACACAAAATTACATTTACATAAAGAATACAATCTCTTTTAAAATAAAAAATAAGAATATACTAATAAAATCTATGATTTATAATAAACTTTTACAATTTTAACAATTTAATCAATATATATTTAAAACATTTATTTTCGTAAACAAATAATATATATTCTTAAAACAATGCTAGAAATCTCAAAACGTAACAAATCGTGTATAATACAATTTCTAAAACATTTTAACAGAATACTCTAGAACTTTATTTCGCTTAATCAGCGTATTTTTTGAACCAATAGAATTAGTTTGTTCGTTAATTTGGCGGGTTTTTAGTGTTCGCAAATATTCTTTTTATTCTTTCGCACAAAGATGTTTTGAGAACATTCAAGTTTTTTATGTTTCCATGTATGTCCGTAAAACAAAAATTTTTTGTTTTGTACATAAACTTAAATGTCTAAAAAACCTGGCCAGTTTTACGCAACTAAATATAATTTCCGTGGTCAGTATTCGAGAGCGATCGCTCTCGCTTCCTGACCAAGCCTGTATAATTTTTTCAATCAAATTAACTTTGTTTGTGATATTTTCTTTTGAAATTTTTCTCTTCAGGAGTTCCCAAACATTTTCTATTGGATTGACGTCTGGTGAGTTACCTGGCCAATCCAATAATGGAACTTTTTCTTCTGAGAGGAACTTTTTTTATAGATTTTGCAGTATGGCAAGGGGCACCATCTTGCATAAATATAAATTTCTCCATTTCACCAAACCAATCCCTTAATTGTGGTAACAATCGATGTTGCAAGACATCTTGATACTGGTCT